GCAGACGGGCTAACGTTAGCCCTGGCCGCTGCAGACGAGCTAAGGTTAGCCCTGGCCGCTGCAGACGAGCTAAGTTTAGCCCTGGCCGCTGCAGATGGGCTAACGTTAGCCCTGGCTGCTGCAGATGGGCTAAAGCTAGCCCTGGCTGCTGCAGACGGAGAGCTCTCCTCGCAAAGCATTCTGGGATTTGCTTTCACAGCAGCCCGCTACTCGACAGAGATGACTAATAATAAGGATGGCGCAGGCAACAAGCAGAGGAGGAGGACTTATGTGAGCAATGAAGCAAAAAAGCAGTGATCCTTTGTCCAAACGGTCAGTTAACTGAGTTCACTATAAAGTTCACTATATAGTCACCTTGTATTCTGACAAAGTGAGGTTGTATGAGCTATAAATAAACTGAAATCTCGATTGCAATTTAAATTGTAGTTCACAATAAAGTTGATTGCTTGAAAAGAAGAGAAAATTTAAAACAAACAGAAACATAAAATATCCTTCTGATAAAAATTCAAATCCTTTTGGGGAGGGAAACTAGAAACAATTGAAAGTGTCTGACATCTTTAGATTAAAATCACATAGAAGTGCTGTCTGTGGTTAGATTGGATAACGGTCTGTTTGGCCGTCAGCAGGCAGGTTGTGGCGTTTATTTTGGTAGAAACTGTTCATCAGCGGCGGATCGACGCCTCTGGCCTTTTCTGGACTCCTGAGGCGTAAACAGACTTCATATAATAACCCAACAAAACCCGAAACCCATTATTGTCACCAAAGTAAAGTTATTACCGACTTTAATTTACGGCCGGCTCCCTGTGTTGGCGGTCCTCAGGCTCATATCAATTCATTAGGCAGCAGAGCATCAAATTAAGCTGGACTGTCCAACATGATATTGTCCAGAAGCAGACTTCCCTCTGCTGATTTAAGCCTTGTTCCGTTATTCATCACTTTGTGTGGACAAATAATTCCCCAATATGGCTTTATCTTCACTTGTGCGCCGCACGTCCGCTCTAGCATACTGTGACCTTGTCTACATAATATGAGACTCTGCGTGGGAGCTGAGATGGAGTAAACTCCTACATCCAATCCTTTAATATTTGTAAAAAAGTCACAGATTTGTCATCAACCAAAAGACAAACCCTCTCAGAGTCTATTAGGTTCTGATCCCGCTTTCTAAAGCATCTCCAGAACAATCTCTTTGAGTAACGACCTTCCTTTACATAGAACAGCCCGTCCTACTAAGACCCTGATGCCTGTCTAAATGTAGAAATGAAATCATTTTCATACCCATCACTGATCAGCCTGTTACAAAGTATTTATTTCTAGCTTTGTGATTTAAGGAGGTAGATCTGCTGCATTTGTCATCTAGTTATCATTTAATAGCATGTTTTTAAACATAGATGATTCAGGGTAGATTTCATAGTCTGTTTTAGCCAGGCTGGGGCGGATTTAGGAAATTTGGGGCCCTCTGCAATCACAGGCAGGGGGCCCTCTGAATTGACTCATTCTCCA